ACCACACTATATTACAAGTTTCAGAGAAGCAGCTGTGTTAGTCTGTTTTCGCAAAAAGAAAAGGAGTACTCGTGGCACCTTAGACACTAACATTTATTTGAGCATAAGCTTTCGTGAGCTACAGCTCACTTCATCGGATGCATTCAGCGGAAAATACAGTGGGGAGATTTATATACATAGAGAACATGAAACAATGGGTGTTACCATATACACTGTAACCAGAGTGATCACTTAAGGTGAGCTATTACCAGCTGGGGAGGGACCTTTTTGTATTGATAATCAAGGTGGGCCATTTCCAGCAGTTGACAAGAACGTCTGAGGAATGGTGGGGGGATAAATGTGGGGAAATAGTTTTTACTTTGTGTAATGACCCATCCACTCCCAGTCTCTATTCAAGCCTAAGTTAATTGTATCCAGTTTGCAAATTAATTCCAATTCAGCAGTCTCTCGTTGGAGTCCGTTTTTGAAGTTCTTTTGTTGAAGTATTGCCACTCTCAGGTCTGTAATCGAGTGACCAGAGAGATTGAAGTGTTCTCCAACTGGTTTTTGAATGTTATAATTCTTGACGTCTGATTTGTGTCCATTTATTCTTTTACGTAGAGACTGTCCAGTTTGGCCAATGTACATGGCAGAGGGGCATATGCCATCATGTGCCAGCAATATCACATTGGTGGATGTGCAGGTGAACGAGCCTCTGATAGTGTGGCTGATGTGATTAGGCCCTATGATGGTGTCCCCTGAATAGATATGTGGACACAGTTGGCAACAGGCTTTGTTGCAAGGATAGGTTCCTGGGTTAGTGGTTCTGTTGTGTGGTTGCTGGTGAGTATTTGCTTCAGGGTGGGGGGCTGTCTGTAAGCAAGGACTGGCCTGTCTCCCGAGATCTGTGAGAGCGATGGGTCGTCCTTCAGAATAGGTTGTAGATCCTTGATGATGCGTTGGAGAGGTTTTAGTTGGGGGCTGAAGGTGATGGCTAGTGACGTTCTGTTATTATCTTTGTTAGGCCTGTCCTATAGTAGAGCCTCAGAGCCAGGAGAGTACCCAGAAGTCACCTACTATAGGACAGGCCTAACAAAGATAATAACAGAACGTCACTAGCCATCACCTTCAGCCCCCAACTAAAACCTCTCCAACGCATCATCAAGGATCTACAACCTATCCTGAAGGACGACCCATCGCTCTCACAGATCTTGGGAGACAGGCCAGTCCTTGCTTACAGACAGCCCCCCACCCTGAAGCAAATACTCACCAGCAACCACACAACAGAACCACTAACCCAGGAACCTATCCTTGCAACAAAGCCTGTTGCCAACTGTGTCCACATATCTATTCAGGGGACACCATCATAGGGCCTAATCACATCAGCCACACTATCAGAGGCTCGTTCACCTGCACATCCACCAATGTGATATTGCTGGCACATGATGGCATATGCCCCTCTGCCATGTACATTGGCCAAACTGGACAGTCTCTACGTAAAAGAATAAATGGACACAAATCAGACGTCAAGAATTATAACATTCAAAAACCAGTTGGAGAACACTTCAATCTCTCTGGTCACTCGATTACAGACCTGAGAGTGGCAATACTTCAACAAAAGAACTTCAAAAACGGACTCCAACGAGAGACTGCTGAATTGGAATTAATTTGCAAACTGGATACAATTAACTTAGGCTTGAATAGAGACTGGGAGTGGATGGGTCATTACACAAAGTAAAAACTATTTCCCCACATTTATCCCCCCACCATTCCTCAGACGTTCTTGTCAACTGCTGGAAATGGCCCACCTTGATTATCAATACAAAAAGGTCCCTCCCCAGCTGGTAATAGCTCACCTTAAGTGATCACTCTGGTTACAGTGTATATGGTAACACCCATTGTTTCATGTTCTCTATGTATATAAATCTCCCCACTGTATTTTCCGCTGAATGCATCCGATGAAGTGAGCTGTAGCTCACGAAAGCTTATGCTCAAATAAATTTGTTAGTGTCTAAGGTGCCACTAGTACTCCTTTTCTTTTTACTATATTGCAAGACACCAATACTCAACTTTGAAGATCTTTCCAGGTACGATCCTGTCTCCAAGCCTCCCATTCCTGGTCAAAATAAGAGCACTAACACAATGCTCCATGTTACTAGAATACAAATGAAATCAGAAGTGTGAATATTCACCTTCAACTGACTTGAGTACAAGATGTGGGTGTAATTTCTCAAGTTTCATGTGAACAACAAAAATACCTACAAGTATGTATCACTTCCCCATCTTACCAGCACTAACCCGTGACCAGTCTATGTTTTCAGACATTAATCTTTGCTACTGTAGTCAGCATAGTACCCTTAGTTTTTACATGAATGGCTATATCCGATAGCTTCTAAGATACCGGCTTGCATGAGAATTAATCGACTAGTGATTGGTCAGAAGAGGTATCGCTACAGTGCAGTTCACTTATTGAGGCCAGGGTTACCTTTTAGGTCAAAGCAAGGGGGGGCACCCACAGGAGGAGAAAGATGCAGGGAAGTCACATTTGTGGCTTGCTACTGCAGTTATGTTTTCAAGAGTACAAAAGCATCTCTTTATACTAATTCTACTTACTCACACATCATAGATCCCCAGCTTCCAAAACCCTCCAGCCACATTTCCATGCCAGAATCAGAAGTTAACTACATTTGTAGAGACGGTGCATCTGGATAGCCAAATGCACAGATTGTAAAATATTACAGCTAACGTTAAAAAAAATATATAATACATAGGTTAGGAAAAGAGTATCTGTACATCTGGGTATAGTGCGGGCTTTCTCAAACTGGGGGACAGGACCCCTCAGGGGGTCACAAGGTTATTATATGGGGGGTCGCTAGCTGTCAGCCTGCACCCTAAACCCCGTTGTGCACCCAGCATTTATAATGGTGTTAAATATCTTTTTAAAAGTGTTTTTAATTTATAAGGGGGGGGGTGTCACACTCAGAGGTTTGCTATGTGAAAGGCGTCACCAGTACAAAAAAGTTTGAGAACCACTGGTATAGTGCTTATATTATCCACAAATATAAAAGTTAGTTTTTAAAAGTCATATGAAATTCAGAGTACATGATCAGCAATAACCCAAATTTAGGTGAATAGATTGAACAATACAGCTTAGATATTAGAATCCAAATACTCAGGTACATCACTCATGAAAAGCTGTACAGGGATTTGGTTGTGGAAAGCAATATATATCAATGAGTGGAGACTGTATTTTCTAAATAGACAACCAATCTAATCCTCAGTTACTGAGGAAAAATCCATGAGGAAAGTACGTTACTTTCCTGACTGCGCTTTTCATCGGCACTTCAGCTCATCCCTCCTGGCATTGCCTATGTGATCTATGTAGATGTCCCTCAACCACCTGATTGTGTCTAACACCATGAGTTGCCGCATCAGCCGGGCTTAGTGCTAACCAATTCTGCATTCTCTCAGCACTCGCTCGTTACTGGGGTCCCATTCACCTAAGGCTCCAAGGCGTACGTGTCTCTGGACCTGATAACCCTTAGCTCTCAAGGTTTCAGCCAGAAGGGTGTATTTCTCTACCTTTCGAGCTCTGGCATCGTGGAAGGCCAGGGTCCTGTTCTCAAAGGGCATGGTACTACATCAACAGTTTATATATTTTAAGGTCAGAGTCATCTATGTATTAAATAGAGAACTTAAGTTTCATGGCCAGGCCATTTCCTCCACATTCTTCTTAAGGAAGCAGCATAACCAAGTTTGGTACTATAGATAACCTATAATTTGGGTGGGTGGGGGTTGGGCTGTTAGTTAAGTTGCTTCAGTGATGTATCTTTGTCTTACTCTGTGTGTGTGTGTATACACACACACAGTATTTACAAGTGATATTGTTTGAAAATCAATCATACATCAAAATAGCAGTCAGTGTTTTACATGCTTACAAAAAAAGCAAATAGCGTTCCTTATCAGAGCCCAAACAAGACAACAGGAAGAGATTATGCAGGAACATAAATAAAAAGCCTCTGTCCTAAAAGCCTTTTCAGAAGGAGTTTTAAATTGATCAGTTTTGGAGTTTAACATAACTACCACTCTTTCATACAAAAAACCATCTGATCCACCTACAGTTATCTTTTAGCTGCTCCCAATCCTGTTGGCCCACCCCACCACATGTATTTCAATTCACTATCAGACTTCCCCTCTCCCATCCATCCCCACAGGCCTCTTGAGCCCATAGCTGTTCTGAAAACTGAGGAGGTACACAAAACCACAAACAGGTGACTCCCCTGTTGAATAAACTTTGGTAATATTTGTATATATAATAGAGCTGTTTCGTTTTCTAAAAAGCAAACAGATTCAGGCTGCCGCCTTTTGTTCGCCATCACATCTGTTTAAAAGACAGGTATAAATTACTTGTACTCTCTTGGACCGCGTTGTAAGGGAGATTTCTCAAGTCATTTAAAAATAACTAATAAATAAAAAAAAAAGGGGGGGGGGTGTGAAGCAAACAAGCAATAGTAAGGTTACCTGCTGGATGCTAGTTTGTTATTATAAGCACTTCTCGCCTGCTTTTTAAAAAAACCTCCAGAGCACTTTTACAAGAGTAGAATCATTATAGTCGGTCTGTGCAGCTGGGGAAACTGAGGGACACTCTCTAAATGTCACGTGATGAGAAGCCTGTGCAGGGCTGGCAAGAGAGGACCCCGCTCCATGACTTCCCGGGCAGAGTCCCGACCCACGGGCCCACGCCCCTAAGGGGCAGGCGCAGCCAGAAAATTAAAACGTGGGTCCGCGCTGCGAGCCTCCCTCCTTAGGGCCCAGGGAATCGTGACGAATACCCCCACGCCTGCAGCTGCGGAACGGCTTTCCTAGGGCTCCACAGCACGCCGGAGCGGGCTGCCCCCCGAGCCCGGGGACCCCCCACAGCTCACCGCACAGCCCCGCCCCCCCGCTCTGCAACGTGCCGCGACGCCTCCGGGACCCCCGCGTGCGGCGCCCTCGCTGCCGGGCTGCGCCCCGCTGCTCACGTTATCCAGCTGCCGCTGCGGCCCCGCAGCTGCGCCCGCCACCGCCATCTCCGCCGGCTGCCGGGCTGGGCTCCCCCGGCGGCAGCGCCCCCACTGCCGTCCCCAGCCCTATTAATGGGCGACTCCCCTCCCGCAGCGGGCACGGCCTCCCCGGCGCGGCCCAGGCCTACGCCCACCCCGCCTGCCGCGACCGGCCTTAAGCCCGCCCCCACGCCAGCCTCGCCCCACCCGCCGGCGCTCGGCGCCCCCTGTCGGTGATTGCTGGGCTCGCGCTTGCCGCTCTCCCCAGCGCTGCGCCTGCCTTTTCCGAGCCGGCTCCCGCCTGCTTCAGCCGAGACAGCGGCAACTCTGCCATCGCCAGCGCACGGGGAGGTCGGGGCCAGGCCGGGTACACACCCCTGGGCTGCAGTGTCTTGTCTGGCTGGGAAGCTGCGTCAAACACGCGGCAACTGGCTGTGAGCTTTGCCGGTGGTTTGACCCAGCTGATTATTATTATTTATTATAGCGTTAGAATCATCGAATCTCAGGGGTGGAAGGGACCTCAGGAGGTGATCCAGTCCAACCCCTTGCTCAAAGCAGGACCAATCCCCAACTAAATCATCCCAGCTGGGGCTTTGTCAAGCCTGACCTTAAAAACTTCTAAGCTTTGTATTGAAAAAGTACTGGGTCACAGCGCAGGCCTTGGTGCTACTTGCTGTATAAATGGGGGAGACAGTCCCTGACCCCCCAAAACCAAAGCAAACTCCAGAGTGCTAAGGTCCCATTAGGGGAAACTGCTCAAGGTTGCTCTGCAGGGCTAGCTTTAGTGTGGGTCCATGGAAATCATGAAAGCAAGGGTGCCAAACCCAAGTGGTGCTCTGCTCTGACCGTGTGTGCCTGGTAGCGGGAGCCAAGCTAGGGTGATCAGACAGCAAATGTGAAAAATCAGGAGAGAGGGTGGGAGGTAATAGGAGCCTATATAAGAAAAAGACCCCAAAATCAGGACTGTCCCTGTAAAATTGGGACATCTGGTCACCCTAAGCCAAGCCCAGCTCTGCCCTTGAGTAGAGAGCTTGTTGCCCAACCCCGACCCCCCTCCTCTGCATACCAGGCTGGGATTAGTGGTGCAGGGGGTACTTCTGTGTGTTTTCTCTGTCCCCCTTTACTACAAGATAGAGCACACATTGAATCAGGAGGCTACACCCACCCCAGCTCAGTCACCCACAGGAGGGATGTGCTTTCTCACTCCTGGCTAGAGGGCAAATACCACTGATCACCATCTGCTATGTGTGGCATGGCTAATGGGTCTGCGATGATGCAGATTCACTCGCCAAATATTCTCTTTTGCGGAAGGGGAAGGGGCTGGGGGAAAGAGGGCTGTCTCAGCGGACTCCTTGACAACCCCAATCATGCAGCTCTTGCATAGGTGATTTGTCACTGGAGGATTCCTCCATCCTTCCTGACCATGACACAATTCCACTGCATGATGCTTGCATGGGTTGATAGGCATGGAAGTGAAAGGTATTGATAATTACAACACAGGCAACTCTAGTGCACGTTTCCCTGCCAACACGCCTGTTCTGGAGCAACCAGAACTACAGGCTTGAGATGTCATTACATTTCCACACCCATTCATTCAGATGAGGCAGCTAATAAGAAGCCCTATAAGGATTCCAACTAGTGCCAATTATTATGGTGTTCTTAGGAATGTGGATACTCCTAAATTGGTTTAAGAGTGCATTATTTCAGTTTAGCTTAAGTCAGTTCATTACTGACTTGTCAGATCAATATGGGGCACTCTGAAACCAATTTAAGAGTTTCCATACAAGGGGATTGTGTCAATTTAATGAAGAACATTTCTAAACTAATTTAGTGAAAATGGTACAACTTTTTTTTGCAGATAAGACCCAAGGCCTCCTAACATTGCTCTGGGAGCAATAAGTGTAAATGTAATTTATATCTACTTTAAGGCCTCTTTTTGCTGCCAGAGCAGTGGCCTTAGTGAAAATGAGAGTCAGATTCAAACATGTGAAAGAGGTATGAAATGTATTTACATTAGTTGGTAGCTGGAACTGTTCTTTTTAATTAATGAAGTCTGGCTTTTTAATATTTCAATCTTGTACTGATAAATTCAGAATAAGCCCAGATTCTCCTTGGTATTTAGGCACCTAAGTCCTATTGAAATCAATGGGAATTAGGCACCTACATACCTTCGAGGATCTGGGCCTGAGAGTCTGCAGATGTAGTGTGTCTAGTGGTTAGACTAGGGAACCCAGAGTCAGGACTCTTAGATAGTACTTCTAGATCTGCCCCTAATATTTTGTGCCACGTTGGCTGTCACTTAAACTCTCTGCCTCAGTTTATCCATCCATAAAATGGTGATAATACGTACCTCCTAAAACCATTGTGAGGTTTAATTATACTTGATCATAGCCAAAAGGTGAGAACCAAAGTTTGGCTTAATAAATATTTGTAAAGTGCTTTGCGGATTTACACGTGCAGATAGATAATACTGTATATAAGTACAAAAACTATTATTACATTAAGCAAATGATCTGTCGCCATTTCAGATTCACTTGTTCAGCAGCCAGGGGCGGCGAGTTATATACACTCGTGGTGTCCGGGCTCAGTAATATTCAGGGCCCGGGGGCCCGGCTCCACGAATGTTTGGGGCCGGGTCTCTCCCCTGGCCCCACTTGCCGCCCCCCCACGCCTCCCCCAAGTGTCCCTGGGCCCCCACTTGCTGTCTCCACTCACCTCCCCCAGCCCTGGAGCCTGCAGCTCAAGCTGACTCTGCTCTGCTGACTCCTCGCATCAACTGCTGCCGCAGGGTCCTAGTGTTCCCCATTGACAAATGGCAGGGCAGGCTGCCCTGGCCCTGACCCTGCCCCTCCGCCCTAGCCCTGAGCCTCTCCAATGCCCTAAACCCCTCAATCCCAGCCCCAGACAGAGCCCTCATCCCCCCACACCCTAATCCTCTGTCCCAGACCTGAGCCCCTCCCACACCCCAAGCCCCTCATCCCCAGCCCCAGCCAGAGCCCCGCCCCCTCCAACACCACAAACCTCTCATCCTCAGTCCCACACCCCTCACCCCTGCACCCCTCCTATCCCCAAACTCCTTCCCAGAGTCTGCACCCCTCACCCCCTCCTGCACCCCCACCCCCGCCCCAGCCCGGAGCCTGCACCCAAACTTCCTCCCAAGGCCTGCACCCCTCACCCCCTCCTGTACCCCCACCCCTTGCCCCAGCCAAGAGCCTACACCCAAACTCCATCCCAGAGCCTGCACCCTTCCTCCCCTCCTGCACCCCCTCCCCCTGCCCCAGCCCAGAGTCTGCACCCAGCACCCAAACTCCATCCCAGAGCCTGCACCCCAGACCCCTCCCCCCACCCAAACTCCCTCCCAGAGCCTTAGGCAGGTGGGGTGCGGAGTTTGGGGGGCAGGGGCAGGTTCTGGGCACCACCAAAATTTCTACAAACCTGCCACCCCTGGTAGCAGCAGCGTTTGTAGGTGCCTGTATCAAGCTTTTTTTCCCCAAAAATCCCACCATTGCTACCACTGGTTCAGGTTAAACAGAAACAGCAATAGTCATTGTGAACCACTATGGGTAGGAAACTGGTGCCACTTTAGGTGACTTTTATGTTTTCTATGCCTACAAAAAATTTTAGGACTTGTTTTGTAAAAGCACAGAGCTCACAGTTGAACAGCCTTGGATTTGGAGTCTGAATTTAGCATAGATGTCATTTGAGCTGATGCCAATGAAGAAAGATGAGAGATAATCAAAGAGATTAAATGGTTTAGCACAGTTGTTCTAAAACAGGGGTAGGCAAACTTTTTGGCCTGAGGGCCACATCGGGGTTCTAAAAGTGTATGGAGGGTTGTATTTAAGTTGCTCCCCATTGGAATGTGCTACTTATGGTGTACTACTTATGGCTGCCAATCCTGGTACTCAGTAAGTAACACATTCCTACTTGATGCAATTTAATACACTACACCCAGCGGCTCTCACAGCCATCCTGCCTGGTAGCACGGCAAGCTAAGGCTGCGGGGGAGGGGCTGGGGGCTAGCCTCCCTGGCCGGGAGCTCAAGGGCCAGGCAGGACGGTCCCGCGGGCCGGATGTGGCCCGCAGGCCGTACTTTGCCCACCTCTGTTCTAAAAGCTATGAACAAAGAGGCTGAAAACCTGGGACCTGATTCACCACTAGGTGACACAAACTTTATCCCTCTGTAAATCCAATTTTATTAGAATTACAATAATATTTATAGAAGCATTTCTTTTCATCCTTGCCTCCTTCAATAAAAACTGCTTTTTACTTGGTATATTCTGATCCCAAAATGTAAGTGTTTACATGTATCTTTTACAATGTTTTAAGATGAGAATACACCTATAATTCTTTTATGGTGATTCATGTCAGCAGCAAATCAAAATATACTAATACAGTAGCTAAGTAGCTGTCTGTTTTCCTATGCCATTTCAATGGAAATTGTGTGATACTAGCCCCAGATGGCCAAATAATTAGAATTTGAGTCTATTCTCTAATCTACTAATGCACACTGCTGCATAATTTGAAGAATCTATGCGGGAGGTTGCACAGAGATATGCAATAGAGAATTTACATGGTGTAGCTTATTATGCAATTGTCTATCTGAGACCTGGTCTACAGTTAAAATTTAGATTGACCTAGTTATATCATTCAGGGCTGTGAAAAAATCACATTCTGGAGGACCTTAACTGTAGTTAAGGTGACCTAACCCCTGGTGTAGAAGTGGCCAGGTTGAGGGAAGAATTATTCTGTTCATTTAGCTACCATCGCTCAGGGAAGTGGATTACCTACATTGACAGAAATATCCTTTCCATTGTTGCAGAAAGCATCTACACTATGGATTACAGCAGAATTGCTGCAATGCCATAGTGTAGACATGCCCTTAGGTTGCATGGGTTATAAAAAAAGATGTCCTAAAGCCTAGTGAATATGCATCTATCAATATTGGCTTGAGTATGCAAAATTCCATGGTATAAGAAGTAATGTTTCCACTGAATGTAAACTGAAATAGTTCTTTCAATTAGTTATTGAAGGGTATATTTTTGGAGATAGAATTAAAAGTTTATTGTAAACACTGCACACAAAAGTAAACATTTCTTGTACATGACAGGTTATCTAGTGTTTCCAAAAACTGCAACTGT